TTTTTTTTTTAAGAGACAGGGTCTCACTATGTTGCTCAGGCTGCAGTGCAGTGGCTATTCACAGGTGTGATCCACTGCTGATCAACATGGGAGCTTTGACCTGCTCCATTTCAGACCTGGGCTAGTTCACCCCTCCTTAGGCAACCTGGTGGCCTCCTGCTCCTGGGAGGTCACCATACTGATGCTTAGTGCAGACACTCGATCGGCATAGTGCACTACAGCTCAGAACTCCTGGACTCAAGCAATCCTCCTGTCTCAGCTTTCCGAGTAGCTGGGACTACAGGTACACGCCACCACGCCTGGCCCAAAATGAGGTTTTCTAGTTGTCTGTTCCTGTGCGCTTGCCTGGTCTTTTTGATTTATTGACCTGGTCTACTAATATGATGAAAATGTGGTTGACTTGTATTACTGTTTTGTAGTTAGTGGGACTTTCTAGAGTCTATGTAGCAGGCTCTTAAGCTCTTCTTTTTAAAATACTTGGTTACTGGCGAGGTGCAGTGATTCACACCTGTAATCCTACCACTCTGGTAGGCCAGAGTAAGCAGATTACTTGATCTCAGGAGTTGGAGACCAGCCTGAGCAAGAGCCAGACCCTGTCTACTAAAAATAGAAAATCTATCCAGGCATGGTAGTCCTACACACCATGGTAGACTACACATCTGTAGTTATAGCTATTGGAGAGGCTGAAGCAGGAGGATCTCTTGATCCCGAGTTTGTGGTTGCTATGATGATGCCACGGCACTCTACAAAGGGTGACAAAGTAAGACTCAGTCTTAAAAAAAAATAGTTAAGGGCGGCGCCTGTGGCTCAATGGGTGGGGCGCCGGCCCCATATACCAAGGGTGGCGGGTTCAAGCCCAGCCCCAGCCAAACTGCAACAAAAAAATAGCTGAGCGTTGTGGTGGGTGCTTGTAGTCCCAGCTACTCAGGAGGCTGAGGCAAGAGAATCGCTTAGGCCCAGGGGTTGGAGGTTGCTGTGAGATGTGTGACGCCACGGCACTCTACTGAGGGGGATAAAGTGAAACTCTGTCTCTATAAAAAAAAAAATTAATTAAAATAATTGGTTACTTGGGACACTTTTTTTTTTTTCAGTTTTTGGCCGGGGCTGGGTTTGAACTCACCACCTCTGGCATATGGGGCCGGTGCCCTACTCCTTTGAGCCAGAGGTACCTCCCCTACTTTGGACACATTTTAAACTAACTTTTTGGTAATTTTTTTTTTTTTTTTTTTTAGAGACAGGTTCTTACACTGTCACCCAGACTAGAGTGCAGTAGCCTGATCATAGCTTACCTTGAATTCCTAAGCTCAAGCTGTCCTCATGCCTCAGCTTCCCAAGTAGCTGGGACTACAAGGCACAGGCCACCACACCCAGCTAATTTCTTAATTTTTTGTAGGGACAGGGGTTCACTATTTTGCTGAGGTTGATCATGAACTCCTGGCAGGTAGGACCTAGCCTCAATTGATCCTCTTGCCTTGGCTTCTAAAAATACTGGGATTACAGACATGAGTCACCACGCAGACTTTATGTAATTAAAACTGCCTGTCATGGTTAGGTGCAGTGGCTTATGCCAATCCTAGCACTTTGGGACGTCTACTTGGGAGGGTCCCTTGAGCTCAGGTGTTCCAGACCAGCCTGAGCAGGAACAAAACCCCATCTCTACTAAAAATAGAGAAATTAGCGGGGTGTCATGTCCCATGCCTGTAGTCCCAGTTACTTGGAGTGAGGCAGGAGGATCACTTGAACCCATGAGTTTGAGGTACTGTGAGGTAGGCTGATGCCATGTCACTCTAGCCTTGGCAGCAGAGTGGGATTCTGTCTCAAAAAAAAAAAATTGCTTGTCACTTCTTCCTGTTCTTGGTATATATCTTTGTTTGGGGAGTTGAGGGGGTTCTCTGTGTATATCCTTTCCTAATTACATAGAAAGCAATATACATCCACATCTCATAAATAGGCATGTAATTATAGAAGAAACAGCTTGACCATGACTGGTAACACTGCCTTACACATTAAATCAGTAATAATAAATTAAACATATCCCTTTTTGTATTACAACTAGCATTTGGCGAACTTCGTGTCTTTCTCCTTTTCTGTTAAGTATTGAACTCATAGCTAAATTTGTACCCTTAACTAATTTTGTTCTCTTTTTTGATGTTCAGTTTGTCCTTGCTGGGTACAGTGTGGTTCACTGCAATCCCAGTACTTTGGGAGGCCAAGGTGGAAGGATCACTCAAGGCCAAGAGTTTGAGACCAGCCTGGGCAATAGGGAGACCACATGTCTACAAAAAATTTTAAAAATTAGCCAGGCATAGTGGCACATGCCTATATATAGTCCCAGCCACTCGGGAGGCTGAGGCAAGAGGATCACCTGAGCCCAGGAAATCAAGGTTACACACTGAACTAAGATCAGGCCACTGCACTCCAGCCTGGCAACAGAGAACCCCGCCCCCCCATCTCAAAGAAAAAAAGATAAAAATAAGTAAATTTTCCCATAAAAGCTGATTGAATTGATTCTTCAGTTATTATAGCATTATTCCACAGTGTTCTTAAATATTCTTAAATGTATTCTTGACCTCTGGCAACAACACCGTGCTTCATTTACTTTCTGTCCCTGAACATAGCTCAACTATCTTTTGAGGATTCAGGTTCCTTTGAGTGAAGTAGTTGTTCACTTATTCATTCCTACTATGTGCTACACCGTTTGGGTTCCTGGGGGGTACAGCAGGGAATGAAACGACCAAAATCTCTGCCCTCACAAAGCTGACATTCTAGTCAGGGGAGACAAACAATAATGATGTAGTGTGTAGATATGGACAGGGCTGTGAAGAGAAAGCATGTAATGGAGATCAGAAGCATTGCCTGGGATGGAGTAGTTAAGGTTTTAAATAGAATGGTTGATTGGATGTGAAGTGTGAGAGAAAAGAGGAGTCCAGGTTTTTCACTGAGCAACCTGGAGTTGGCATTAGCTGAGATGGAGAGGATAGAAGAGGAACAGATTTGGCCGGGAAGATCAGGAGTTTAGTCTGGAATCTGTTAAGTGTGAAGAGCTTATTAAACACTAAAGTGGATTTTTTGAAGATGTAGTTAAGGCTCGGCTGTAGCTCAAGCGGCTAGGGCAACAGCCATATACACCAGAGCTGGCGGGTTTGAATCCAGCCTGGCCTGCCAAACAGCAGTGACAACTACAACCCAAAAAAAAAAAAAGATAGCTGGGCGTGTGGTGAGTGCCTGTAGTCCCAGCTACTTGGGAGGCTGAGGCAAGAGCATCACTTAAGCCTAAGAATTGGAGGTTGCTGTGAGCTGTGATGCCACAGCAGTCTATCCAGGGCGACAGCTTGAGACTCTGTCTCAAAAAAAAAAAAAAAAAAGAATATATAGTTAAAACTCCCAAGTTGAGTTCAGGAGAGAGTTCTGGGCTAACTTATCAATCTGGAAAATGTTAGTATATAGATGGGTAAAGAGTAAAAAAAAGAATATACGTACTGTGATTTGAACTTCTTTTGAAAATAATTTAATTAATGTTCTTTAAAAATATTCGCGGCACACTTAAGATCCTCTCATGGCACTCTGGTTGAAAATCATTGGCTTAGCATAATAAAATCCACATTGCTTATCATGATATCAAGGCCCTGCATGATCTGGCCCCTTCCTACCTCTTTTACCTTATCTTACACCACTTTCACCATTCATTTAATTTCTAATACTCTGACCTGAATGCTCCTTAAACAGCTTTTTCTTGCCTCTAAGGCATTTTGTGGAAAAGACCCTCCTACTACTTAACTCATTCTTCTGTTCTTTCTCATTCTTGGAAGAGACCTTCCTTGACTCTTTGTATCAATTAGGATTCTTTTGAATGAGACCTGATCCAAACTGGCTTAGACAAAGGAAATTGACTTGATGCACCTAGGCTTTCAGCTCCAAAAGAGGACCCATCCCACTAGGCCCAGGCCAGATGACCCCATTTTGCCTTTATATCAGAAAAAAATTTTTAAAAAATTAAGAAAAGGGATTTACAGTTTATGTAACAGGCCAGGCCAAAGTGGATTCAGGCCACTCCAGTTTTCCATTTGTGGGATCTTCCTTGAGTCCTCTCTCTCATACCCCAAATCCAACCTTTTGGTAAATCCCATTGGATCTACCTTCAAAATATACCCCAAATCTAGTCCTTTCTCATCTCCTCACTGGACTTGGTGTTTGCACATTATCCCTCTTTGTCACCAGTTGCTGCTCCACTGGGCAGGGAGGTGGAGCCTCTTAAATCCTGCTAGATCACCTTCCTCCTCGGCTGATGCCCCTCCTCCGGCTCTATGTCACTTAGACTCGAAGCTATGGTCCTTATTGTGGCCTTGTAAGCTTTGCACATCTACCTCCCTTCTTACCTCTCTGACCTCACTTCTTACAGTACCCATTTGCTTATTCTTTTCCAGCCATACCGGCCTCTTTACTGTGCCTCAAACCTGGCAGGCACACTCCTGCCTCAGCACCTTTGCATTTGCTGCCCCTTGTATGTGGAATTCTCTTCTTCCATATAGCCACACTACTCACTTTCTTTAAGTCTATACTCAAATGCTTCTCAATGAAGCCATCCCTGAGTCCTCTGTTTAAAATTGTAGCCCACAGGCCGGGCACAGTTGCTAATGCCTGTACACCTAACACTCTGGGAGGCCAAGGTAGGTGGATCACTTGAGCTCAGGAGTTTTAGACCAGCCTAAGCAAGAGCAAGACCCCATCTCTAGGCTCAGTGCCTGTGGCTCAAGCAGCTAAGGCGTCAGCCACGTACACCTGAGCTGGCAGGTTCGAATCCAGCCCAGGCCCGCCAAACAACAATGATGGCTGAAACCAAAAAATAGCTAGGCGTTGTGGTGGGCGCCTGTAATCCCAGCTGCTAGGGAGGCAGAGGCAGGAGAATCACTTGAGCCCAGGAGTTGGAGGTTGCTGTAAGCTGTGATGCCACAGCATTAGGGTGACAGCTTGAGGCTCTGTCTCAAAAAAAAAAAAAAGAAAAAATCTCTACTAAAAAATAGAAAAAACTAGCAGGACATAGTGACACTCACGGGTAGTCCCAGCTATTCAGGAGGCTGAGACGAGGATTGATCAAGCCCAAGAGTTTCCGGTTGCTGTGAGCTGTGATGATGCTACCAGCACTTAACCCAGGGTGACAGAGTGATAGTCTCTCTCAAAAAAAAAAAAAATTGTAGCCCACATTCCCATACTTTTTATCTTTCCTCATTGTTTTTTATTTTATTTTATTTTATAGTTGAACCTTGAACGTGGGTTTGAACTGCATGGGTCCATTTAAACATGGATTTTTTTCAACCAAACTTGGATAGAAAATACAGTATTTGTGGGATACAAGGATATGAAACCCTCATATATGGAGGGCTGACTGCTGGACTTGAGTATGCATGGATTTTGGTGTACATGGGGTTCCAGGAACCAATCCCGTGTATACCAAGGGATGAGCATACTTAACACCACCTGACATACCATATCTTTTACTCCATCATTTGTTTCTCTTAAGAAGAATTTGAGCTCCATGGGGCTTGGATTTTTGTTTTTTGCTGTCTCCCTAGGATCAGTGAAGTCCAAATGGTGGCTAGGCATCTCTGAACAGGAGCAGGCTGGGTGGGAGTCATCTTGAAGTAGATAGTTCTTGAAGTGATGGGGAAGGGTTGTCCTTGTAATCGTATGTGGGGCCCACTTTGCCCTTTTCTGTGTTTCTTTTCTTCAGGCTCAGCGACAGCCTCACCAAGGACTCCATGAATATCAAAGCCCATATCCACATGTTGCTAGAGGTAAGAGCATCTCACCCTACTCCCAGATTCTGTGTTTATGGTGGTGACCTGAAAAGGGGAGAAAACCATAGAAGGGAATCAGATTTCCCTCTAAGTTGGAGCCAAGGGAGGGGAGGTCAGAGCAAGCCTGGAGGCCTGGCCTGGGCTCAGTCCTTCTTCAGTCTCTTATGTTTTCTTTTTCAGGGGCTTAGAGAACTGCAAGGCCTGCAGAATTTCCCAGATAAGCCTCACCATTGACTTCTTTCCTCCATTCTCCAACATTAAAGACCCTGAATGCCTTTGAGTCACATGGCCCTTCTTTCCCTCCATAATTCCTGCTGGTTACCCAGGAACCCTGGGTTTTTTTTGTTTGTTTGGGGTGTTTTGTTGGTTTTTATTCGGTACAGGAGCCCTGTTTCTAGAGCACAAAGTTATTGGGAAACCCAGAAATCTAGTGTGTGTGGAACCTTGAAAACACCCCAGAAGTCCTGCCTCCAGTCTGTTGGTTGTTAGCTTTATGCTCTGCCCTCTCTTCTGTCACATTGGCAACCTGGGCTCCCACCTCACGCTTCCATTTCTTTTCCTTTGAATTGCCATAGAAAATGGGCCGTTTCATGGTGGAAGTTTGTTCCCAGGGCAATCAGCATTTCATTGCTGGCCTAACTCCATCATGCCTCAGATACCCTAAAATACACCCACGTCCATCTCAGCCCAACCTTGGCCTCACCTCCGTTTCTTAATGGTTCCAGCTTCCACCAATGGGCGCAGAGTTGGATCCCCCCCACCCCCGTCAGTCCTGCCCCTAGGCTAGGTTGAGCCCAGCTGCGTCCAATCGACGCAGAGCCAGGTGCCGCCCCTTTATAACTGGCCGCAGCTCAACTCTGCCCTTACAGGCATTTAGTTTTCTGCCAGTCAACGCTCCTTTGCATGTCTGGCAGCCATCCTGCCCTTCTACCTCCGCTGTGTTCTAAATTCGTCTTTTGTAGCCAATCACCATAGAGTTGCCGGCCGCCTACGCGGAGTCTAACCCGACCTCCTCCTTGCCTGCAGCTACGCCCATTTCTATATAAGTCCTGCTTCCGCTAAGCAGCGTGGCGTACAGCACCGCCCCTTTGATGTTTTGACAGCTGTCTAAGTCCTTCATCCGCCAATCAGAAAAATAGAGCCAGCCTTGGAGGCTGTCTGTCGTCCATCAATCCCATTTAGGCCAATGGGTGTGAGGTTGGCGCCCCCGAGTTTTATCAATTGCCCACGGTCTATCAGTCCTCCTTGATCCAATCAGTGTGCAGCACCAGCGAGGCTAAACACGTCTTGGGACTCGAGCTGCCATCTGTGGTCCATCATTTCCCTTTGGGCCAATCATAGCATAGCTTTGTGGGGCAGGGCCCGCCCTGCCAACCCCTAAAAGCCGTACGGTCTATCCATGGCACTTTGGCCAATCAGCAAGCGGCGGGGAGCTGGCTCCTCCTCCACAGGCCCACGTGAGCTGTGGGGAAACGCAGGGGCGGCTTCTAGGTGCTGCTGCTGTGCTGCCACCGCCACCACCGCCGCTGCCTCGGAACCCTGGCCTGGGGGGCGGTGGGGCCGCGTATGGAGCCCCCGCCCCCCGGAGCTGCCAACATTGCCAACGCCGCCGCCGCGCTACGCACAGGTGAGCCCTGGGCCTAGAGGGTGGAGGGGCCCGGTCCGTGACCCCACGTATCCTTCCCGCCCCCGCGCGGGGGATGTGGCTTGGCCCGTGGCCTGCTGGTGTTCGACTCCCCGCGGCCACCACTGTGGCTAGTGGATCTGCGTATGGCATTGCCCACTCCTTCCGAACCCCGGTTAGTGGATCTGACTGTGGCCTAACCTCCCCCTCCCGTTGTATAATGGATTGGTCTGCGTGCTTATATTTCTCCCCACCCTAACTTACGGTGGACCCGTCCATGGTCTTGTCCCCGACCCCTACTTATACAGAGAACCAGTCTGTGGCGGTGTCCAACCCCCTTAAAATAGTAGATACATTTTAATGTTTGTATTTCTCCTGGCCTCAACTTTGAGGGGACCCATCTGTGGTCTTGTTTATTCCACACCCCATTCCTTGTAGCGAATCAATTCGTGGCGCTGAACCCCCCGCCCCACACACACACACACACACACACACACACACACACACCTCTTTAACAGTGAGTGAATCTCGGTTTGTATTCCTGCCTCTTTCTGTCCCTCACTGTATCAGTCTGTGGTTTTATCGGCCTCCCCCCCCCCCGCCCACGTTTTATAGTGGATCAGTCTGCATGTTTGGATTCACATCCCGCTAGTTATCAGTCCATTGCCCTATCTCGCCTCCCTTTTCTATATACTGTCCAGACCTTGGGCTTCTCCCTTCCTTTTGATAGTGGGTTAGTTTAGTGCTTTATATCTCCCTATTTTCAACAGTTCGTTTTATGGCTTTGTCCCTCTTGCCTTTAAACCAGACTCTGATGACTTTTCTCTCCCTTCATTGTGGTGCAGGAGTCAAGAAGCTTTTCCGTTCCCCTTCCCCCAGCACATGAACCTTATCTCCCCTCCCTTTGTAGTAGATCTGCTCACTGGCCTTCCTGTTAGGTGCATACTTACCCCACACACGTACCCTCCCTGGGTCCAGTGCTTTAGGACCCCTCCCCCAGGAGTGTCAGCCTGTGTACTTTTATTTTTGTCTTTTTTTTTCCTTGTAGTGGATCAGCCCATGGCCTTCCCTGTCCCCCACCTCTCAATAGTGGGTCAACCCATGTGTGCTTTTTGAACTCAGGGCTTGTTTAGAATTACTCCTTCATACACACTCTTAAGCACCCGGATGTTCTATCTGACTGCATACAATAAGTGAATACATTAGTGCTAGTGATGATGGTTAATGCCAATGGGAGCTAATACTTATTGAGCACCTGCTACATATTAAGCAAAATGTTTTATATTAATGAGCTGCTTTAATTCTCATTTCAACCCTATGAAGATAGTCCTGAGGAAGCAGGAGCACAGGGAAGTTAAATGCCTTACTCAAAGGTGGACCAGTAAGTACCCAGGGCACAGGAGAATTTTTGAAGCTCCCCTCTTAGCCTTTTTCCCACTCCACTTGAGGCCCCACTCCTTAGAAAGCAGATGGCCTCAGCAGCACCTGTGGCTCAAAGGAGTAGGGTGCCAACCCCCTATGCCGGAAGTGGTGGGTTCAAACCCAGCCCCGGCCAAAAACTGCAAAAAAAAAAA